GCAAAAAAAATGGACTAAAACAAGCTTCAATGTATTTTTTTTTTTGAACAGTATGTTACATGGAGAAGGTGATGATGAGGTTTGAACCCACGATCAATATAAATTAACAACAAACTAAAACATCACAATTAAATCATATCATAAAATTTAATAATGATCAAAGAAATCAACAAAACAATCGAAGATTCAAAATTTTAAAATTTAAATTTAGGTCAAGAAAAATCCAACTAATAAAAATATAAATTTGTGGGTGTGTGCATATATATGTGTGTGTGTGTTTATACATATATCCACTTAAAAATATTGAAAATGGACATAAGAATATCCAAAATGGATGAAGGAGACGAATCGCATAACCAAACATTACCTTTGTGAATAAACAAATCTTGATTCGTTTCTTGGAAATGGTAAGGGTGAAATTTGAATTTTTTTTGTTCTAGCTGTGCACCAAGAATTGCAACAAGCAAAATGGCAGAGGAGCCAGATGGCGCCATAATCAAACTTTTGGGATTGAACAGATAAATTGGAACATTGCCATTTAAGGAGGAAAAAAAAGAGAGTTGTAAAATGCTGCCTTTTTGGGCGAACAGCAGGGCCTGCTGTTCTTAGAGAAAAGCACAGAAGCCGGATCCGCTTCTCACCACTCTCCAATCATCTCATCCCGACCCTAAAAGACAAATTCCTATATTGCCCCACTTCCGTTAACCACTGAGCTAGTATTGATAATGGAATTTTTCTTTCACACTCAATTATTTTCTTTTCAAAGTTGCCAAGTTTTTTTTAGGGTAAATATCATAATTAGTCCTTAAACATTGTCTCTTATTTTAAAATGGTCCTTGAACTTTTAATTATCTCAATTTAGTCCCCAACTATTAATTTCATATTAATTAAGTTATTTCATCAATTTCAATATGAGAACAAACGACAACACATGACATGTACAACTACAAGATAAACAAGTGGTTTGCCTCCATTTGTTTTAAATGTTAAAATTGATAAAATGACTTAATTAACATAAAATTAATAGTTGAAGAATTAAATTGAGAGAATTGAAAGTTCATAGACCATTTTAACACCAAAGACAAAGTTTGAAGATTAATTCTAATAGTTACACCCCCCCCCCCCCCCCCCTTTTTTTATGCAGGCCTATAGGAATACCATTTTCATTGTTGTATCTCTATGTACTATTTTGTCATTTACCTTTACAATACCACTTGAGCATGAAAGTCATTAGCCTTGTAATTTTTGTAACAAGACTAAACAAAAACTCCATGTACTATGGTCTGGCCCAATTAGAAACCAAATGGCCCTGGTCTCCTTTAGCAAAAAGCCTGTTGAAAGTTTTGGGCCGCCTTGGCCGACCACATCATCAACTACAAGATACATGAAATAAATTGAATTTAGCTTCAAAAAAAATTTTGAATTTTAATCACATGTTGTTCGTGAATAATATTCGATTCCGAGTACCCAGATACAAATTGATAATTTTGACAATGTATTCAAATTTGAATATGAATCCTTTATATAATAATTATGAATTAGGATTCAAATAGACTAATATCGAAACCGATTAAACTTCGATCCAAATTTTATATATAGCATAAATTTTTGTGTGTGGGTGTTTTTGATTAAATTGATTGTATTTAGATGTAATTTACTAAATTTTAACTTAGATTAAATTATTGGGGTTTGAATGTTTATATATATTTTGATCGGATTTTCTGTTTTTATCAAATTAAACTATGAATTGTTAAAAAAAAAAAAAAAGTGCATAAAGTGTACTTCAAGTTTTCTCACATATTCTACAAATTGGAAATAGAAGATGGCCTTTGAAATAATGAAAGCACTGACAAACCAAAAACACATGGACCAAGACTAATATATAAAAGGTTACTAAAAAACAGACGCTAAGATTCAAATCCCATCAAGATTAGGTGGCCACGGAATAAAAAATTTATACTATGTGACACAACATATAAGAAAGATCAAATAGAAATGATGAAAGATTTTGGAAAAATTTGGCAAGAGGGAGAGGGGACCAAGACCATGCATGCATACCATTTTTTCTGTTTGGCTTTGCTTTTCAATTAAATGAATCGAGGGGACCATAATTGACATTGAAGATCACATAAATATAAGAAAATCATAAACACAAGGACTTAAAAAAAAAGTTATAGTACAATTAAATCCTTGTCTTGAGATTTCCTATTTGATGCATATATTTGTATGATCTCACTGAATGTAACCTAAAACTAGTTTAATTATAAAAATAGACATTAATCAAACCATTATGTATAGTATATATAGCTGTCTTCCTTTACAAAAATAATAATAATAATAATAATAATAATAATGTCCTAACAAAAGTAGGTGGGATAATGAACTCCTTTTGTATCAACACAACATGTGACATATTCATTATACGTTAACATCAAATTGATGGGCTTGATTTTCAATTGCTACCTATCCTTAATTGATTTGATGACGATTTGAATTGCTTGTAGTAAACAAATAAGAGATTTGACAATCAGTGACGGAACTATGATTGGGCTCTAGGGAGCATGGTCCCCCTTAAATTTTAAAAATTTCTGTTGTTCCCTCCATATTTTTAGAACACTTAATGTTTAAGTATTTCACTCGGTGTATTAAAAAAGACAAATGACTTAATATTTAGTAATTATTTAGGATGCAATCAAATGAATGAGTGTAACTTGTATTAACGAAGGCACTTGTTGGATTATTTTTATGGTTATAGAGAATAAATAACTTTTTTTTATAAAAAATAATTAAGATACAAATATGATTTATATCAAAATCAATCCGTTGACTTATAATTTACTTTTATTATGGTATCATATGAAACTACTAGTTATTACCTGTGTCTGAAGACACAGAATAATAAAAAATAGTAAATAATAAATATATTTGTATTCATATCCAAAATCAAACCATCAACATAGAGGAGAGATAAATAAATTTAAGCATCGGTTGTAGTGGGGGTGAGAGGTGGTGGGCGGTAATGGTGGCAGTAGGAGACGGTGATAATTGTGGGTGGTGGCGAAGGCGGTGGTGGTGGCAGCAGGGTGGAGGTGGTGGGGGGGGGGTGGTGGTGGTTGAGGTAGTGGTGGAGCGATTTCAAATACTATTTTTAAAAAAAAAATATTTATAAAAAATAATTTATAGAAGTACTTTTAAAAAGTCACTCTAAAACACACCCTAAGAGGTCTATTTTTCCTATTAAATTTAGGGTGTTAATATTAGTCATTAGATTAACTTTAAAATAAAATTTAATGCGATCTCAACCGCGAATAGAAAAAGTCATTTTGTTTATCTTTTGAGATTTGAATTGTAAGCTACTTTATTATATAGATTATTTGTGACCATAATTTAGTTATAGACATAAGGTTACATTATAAATAAGAAAAAAAGAGGATGATAATATTGTCATAAATAAATTTTTATGATGGCATGATCCAATTTTTGAGTTTTGTACTTAAAATTAATCTTTTCGCTGGCATTGCATAAACATTAAATTTAATAGGTTCTTTATAAATAAAAATTAATCATTAATAATGGCCATTGAAAAAACTCATTAAATTAAAATTTTGTCCATGTCATTAATAGACCCCTCAAGATAAAATTCTGATCTCGTCCCGCGAACAAAATAATTAGTTCTCAAACTATATCATTGTCTATGTCACTGTAAATTTGTATATAAGAAGATCAAGATATTGACTTCTCAATGCACTTATATGAGAATTCAGTGGTCCATGTTTTTTACCAAATTGGTGTTCATGTAATCGGAAATAATTTAACAGAATATAATTCTAAAGTACTTTAGAGGATCTAGAGGCTTAATTAAGAACATCAAGAGTCACAATTAGGGATGATAGTGGACCAAAAAAAAATTAGTATTTGTTCAAACTCGTCATGTTTGGATCACTAATAGATCATACATATTAGACGGTAGACGTATATGGAAATATTCACATAAACCAATGCGGGGATGAAGGTTGGGACGGACTGAAACTCGTCCCTGTCCCACCCGTCTCTGCCTCGCTAAACTCGTAATATGTATATATAACAAATAAAATAATTAAGTAAAACACACATTTGTTTTAAATATTATATTTGTAAGTTTTTATGTTTGATCAATTTCTTATATAATGGGTTTGCATCCTTCTTATAAATTTAACATTTGTGAGGTTTTATAGTGGTTTTTTATTTTTTTTTAAAAAATTATAAAAATTAATTGTTATAGGTGGGGGCTGGGATCAAAAATTTATCACGATTAAAATTTTTTTCACTAGCGGTGGTGGACCAAGAGAGGTCAAATATTTTTGAAACAGGAACGGGTGATGACTACTCCAGCTCCCTGGTCGACTGTCATCCGTAGTCACCATGTCTAGACATTTACATAGGCCCTTCAACTATTCAATGCCACTTTGTCCCCTCAGTTACTGAATTTCTTGCATTACTCCCTCAATTATTTAAATTAATTTTGCATTTCGCTAAAACAAAACATCAGACTTTTTTTGAAAAGAAAATGTTAAATTGTGTAGTAAACCATCCTTATTAAATGTCTACGATTGGGGTAATTTAAAATCAATAATCATAGTTTAAGGTTTAATGAGAAAAAGATGAGGGGTAATGTGAAACTAATAACTATTATTGAAAGTGTAATGTAAAAAACGTAATAGTTGGAAGGCAGTGTGAAACATGAAATATAATTAAGGGGGTCAAAAATGTCATTTTACCAATCTAATAATTGAAGACTCCATTTCATAATCGTCTTAAAACCTTTATGCATGTAGCGCCAAGAACCATTAACACATCGGTACACTGTTACTTAGCAGCAACTCACCACATTTTCTCCTATAAGTTTTAAGACAAATAAGATCAACAAAAATCTATAAGAGAGAGAGTGAAACTAAGAGTGTTACACAGTAGTCCCTTAGCAGCCTCAAAACTTGATACCTAGGTTCCAGAAACATAAGCTCATGGGTTCACTAACACAGCCCAAGCTTCCGGTTATCGACTTCTCCTTGGAGAAATTGAAGTCCTGTACAAGTTCCTGGTCATCGACACGAGACGATGTTGTTCGGGCACTCGAAGAATATGGCTGCTTCATTGCAGTGTATGATCAAGTTTCTTTGGAGCTTCACAACGCGATTTTTCAAGTATCAGAAGAGTTGTTTGACCTTCCTACAGAAACAAAAGTCTTAAACACTTCAGATACCCCTTCACATGGCTACGTGGGACAAGAGCCTGTAGTTCCTCTGTACGAAGGGTTGGGAATCGAAGATGCAACAACTCTCGAAGGAGCTCAAAGATTTACCAATCTCATGTGGCCATCTGGAAATGATCGTTTCTGGTATGATTCGATAAAGGTTTCTACTTTCTTGTATTTCTCTCCAATTCACATCCGATCTAACATAGAAGTCTTCGGATTTTAATTGAAAATTTTCCTTGACCCTCTTAGTCCGTAGAATGATCGATAATTTTTGGGACACCCATTTTTGGAAATCTGATCCAACTAGGAATAAGGTGTTTTTCTGATATCTAATGCTACTTAGACATAAGATTTTTCAGGGTATTATGTACTATAAATTCTTGGCAGATTGAGTAGTTGTTCACCTAGTTCCATTTTAGATAAATTCTTGTAAATTTTACCTTTTATTGTAAACTTTTGTTGTTGAGTTTTATTGTCAACTTAAGTTTTCGAGCTCGACCATATAATCTCCCGTATTTTGATTTGTTTTGCTATTTGTTTGTGATATCATACATAACGCTTTTGTTTTTGTGTTCTTTTTTAACTAGTGAAACAACGCTCTCATTTTCAAGGCTAATAGCAGAATTAGATCAAATAGTGATGAGAATGGTATCGGAAAGTTATGGAATAAAGAAATCCTATGAATCACTTCTTGGATCAACCTCTTACCTCTTTCGGCTGATAAAATATCGAGCACCCGAGACGAATCAGACCAATTTGGGGATAGTCCCCCATACTGACAAGAGCTTCATGTCCATTCTTCATCAACGTCAAGTTAAGGGTTTGGAGGTGAAAACAAAGGCAGGTGAATGGATTGTTGTTGATCCCTCACCCTCGTGGTTCGTAGTCATGGCTGGCGATGTATGCATGGTGAGTTACTTTTCTCACATAGCTAGATAAGAAAAGGAAAGATTTACAATTTTCGTCAACTTATCATTTCTTTTATTCAAACTCATTCACAGTAAGCTTAATTGATATCGTATTTCTAAGCTTAATTGGTAAACTAAACGAATCTAAGCTACATGTAGTTCAGCTCGGATTGGCTCGAATAAGTTATATATAATGCTATTGCCAAAGAATCCATATTGAAAAGATAAACAAATCAACATGAACCCCCAAATAGTTCCAAGTCGTATATATTTCTATCTCCCTCCCTTTTCTAATAAATTTTTGGGAGATTTAATATTTAGATTTTTAGAGGTTTTTTTGAGAAATAACTAACTTTGAGATTGATTATTAAAGTACAGGAACTAACTTTTAGATTTATTTCTAGAGCAGATGGAGTTTAATTTTAGCCAGAACACTCACAAATTTCACTGAATTGAGCTTGAGTAAGAATTTGAGCTCAAAAATTGAGTTTGGTTCGTCACAACAAAGTCAATCTTCACCATACTTAAACTTAACAAATTTGACTCCTAACACCCCCAGCCTCATAGTTTCAGTTTAAATTTAGGAAACGTTTCTCTTTTACAGAGAAACATTTCAACCCTAACTCCCTAATTCTTAATTTCTGTTACCTTTTTTTTTTTTTTGGAGAATTACGCGGAGGCTCTTTGAGATTTGTCACTTAATCACTCAGATATTTTAACATTTAAAATATTACCTACAGACCCCTAAAGATTTATATGCGTGTAACACTTAGACCTCCGTCGTCAATATCTATTAATAAATTATACCTAGACCCCTTGAATTTTGTAACCGTGTAATACTTAGACCCTTCAAATTAAAAATGTTATACTTAGACTAAAATACTTCAAAGATAGAATATCAAAAATTTTAAATTTATAACCAAAATTCATATTTTATTATGACATTTTTTGAAATAAAATCAAAAATAAAAATTTAATTTTTTTTCTTCTGAATTTTTATTAGTATATAATTATACTATTTATTGGAATTTAATTTAGTCATTTAAAAGACCAAATTAAACTACTAAATTACCCCAATTAAAGTTAAAAAATATTGTGTCCTTTACAGTTTGATCTCATGTTCAATTTTTTAATTTTATTTCAATAGATAGTATAATTACATACTAATTATAATTTTTAAGAAAAAATAGATTTTTATTTTCTATTTTATTTTAATAAATAAAATAAAAAAACATAAATTTTGATTGTAAAATTCATGTTCTATTATGAACGACTTAGACCCCTTGTTTAATTTTTTAGTTTTAATCCAATCAATAGTATAAACTAATTATAATTTTTTAAGAAAAAATAAATTTTTATTTTTAATTTTAAATATGAATTTTGGTTGTAAAATTTATAATATTTGATATTCTATCCTTAATTGAAATATTTTTATCTAAGTATAACATTTTAAATTTAAGGGATTTAAGTATTATACACCTATAAATTTCAAGGGATCTATGTTTAATTTATTAACAAATATATTAATGGACATTAATCTCTGGGTTGGGGTTTAAATATTACACACGTACAAATCTTAGGAGGCATGTGTGTAATATTTCAAATATCAAGAGATCTGAGTAATTAAATGACAAATCCTAGAGCTTCTTGATGTAATTCTCCTTTTTTTTTTTTTCCTTTCCCTGAGAAAATAGTAGCTGTAATATTACATATATATATATATATATATCCAAATATTTGAGCAAAAATGGTTTCTTCTCCGATTCAGGCCTGGACTAACGGCAGAATAGAACCTCCAAATCATCGGGTCATCATGGGCGGGAACGAAGACAGATACTCCCTAGGGCTATTCTCATTCATCAAAGATCTCCTCATCGAAACACCCCAAGAGCTGATTGATGGCGATCACCAACTACAGTTTAAGCCATTTTATCACTACCCCTACATTCATTTCTACTACACAGAGGAGGGAAAGCGATCCAAATGTCCTATCAAACTCTACTGTGGAGTTTAAGAACGTCTTAATTGGCTTGAAACCTACTGTATAATTTCTTTTTAGTTCATGTTTTATCTATGGCTAAGCAGTGTGGATAGTGATGTACTTTTTGTGATGTTAAAAGAGCATGAATATTTGTGTTTTGTTTGAATTACATTTGTGGGTTTCAGTATATTTCTTGTAATATTAAACCTAAGCTTGTCCCAATACCAATTCCAATGGACAATCCATTCGAACCAAATTCCGACCATCTACGAATTTTGAAAAGTGTGTATAAAATAATACTCTATATGCAAAGAGACTATTTTGACGATTCAATCTCATAACATCCAAAATACAATAAAATAACATTATTATCAGAGTAAGTCCCGCCTAAAAATTGTAAGCTATAAAGTACTTAGTACTGATTTAGGAAGGTGCCCAAGTCGCCAATGCCAAAGATCAAATGGAGTTGTCATTGAGACCATTAAGGCCTGAGGGATTTGAAGGATATAGAGGCCTGCATCCTTCCCATTCCAATCTTCTTCTTCGTTGACTAGTCTTGAAATATGCAATGATCAAAGAAAAAGGTAATTGAGTATGCCAGAAAGTTAGCAAGTTGACTTACTGAAATCAGGTTGTAATGGAATGACGGAACAAAGAAAACATCAGTAAGATAAAAATCACATGAAAATTGAACTATTCCCATGTGAGTGACAGAAGCTCGTGTTCCATCAGGCAATGAGACATGTACAGGTGTTTTACATGGAACATAAGATGAGAAAAGTGAAAGATGGGAACACATGTGATTTGTGGCTCCTGTGTCAATGATCCAAGAGCGAGAGCAAATGCAAGGCAAGACTTTACCTGCAAGATTAACCTTGGGTGATTCGATACCTGATGAAAGCAAAGAAATAATTTGTTGATATTGAGCCTGCATAATTGGAGCAGCAGGTTGCATTGGTGGTATTTTGTGCACTATTCATGTGACTTTGAGGAACAACATCATATTCACTCATGGCAGTAAATGGATAGCCATTCTTCTTGTAACAAGTAACTTCAGTGTGACCATTTTTGTTACAGTAGGTACAATGAGGTCGGCGAGATTGATTTGTTGTGGTCTTGAAATTTTTGTTTCCAGCAACAAGAGGTGCTGCTTCAGGTGGCATGTGTCGAGTAGGATGCAACTCGCGTTGTTTTTCTTCTTGAACAAGTAATGAATAGATATTCTGGATTGATGGCATCGGTTAAAGGAGAAGTAGCTGACTGTGAATGTTAGAATCATTTGGACCCTGTAAAAATTACAACACACGATCTTGCTAAAATATATCAGCAGCAGCCTTGATTACTCCACAAGTACAGGCTGGTAGAAAAATAAAAGAAGATTGCTCATGCCAAAGAGTTTTAAGCTGGGTGAAATATTGAGACACGGACATATTGTCATGATGGAGAAGCGAGATATCTCATTGAAGCTTAAACACCATTGAAGCGTTTGGCTGAGAGAATCTATCCCTCAGATCATCCCATACTTCTTTAGCAGAAGCATCATAAAGAATACCTGCTCAAAGTTTTGGAGAAAATGAGCGGAGAATCCAAGAAGAAATGAGATCGTTGCAGCGTTCCCATTGATGAATTTGATTTTCACCTTTCGGTTTAGATATTTCTCCAGTAACAAAACCCAATTTATTCTTGGCACGAAGCGCCATTCTCATTTCTTGTATCCAAGTGCTATTATTATCAGGTGTTTACAAAGGAGAAACAAGTACTGAAGTTGGACTATCTGAATGGTGAATAAAGAAAGAATCATCTGAGCCTTCACTATGAACAACGGAAGACAAGGTTTGATCAGTCATTGAAGTTGAGTTTGAGGAACAAGAATTTTAATGATTAGCGTAAGAGAGATTTAGAGCAGATTGAATTGCTCTGATAGTGATACCATGTAACATTTGTCCACTTTCAAAGTAAGCTAAACTTCCTTTTCCTGTTAGTTCAATTCATTCAGCTGCTCCATTTCAGTTAATCCATTGTGATTTTTTGGGTAAATTTTGTCCCATCATTATCTGGTGCACATTATTTTCTCAAAATTGTAGATAATTTCAGTAGATGCACTTGGGTGTATCTTATGTGCTTCAAGTCTGAAACCAAATTCTATCTTTTGCCATTTATTTATCTTATTGCAACACAATATCATTCCTAGGTTAATACATCAGCAAAGTTGTGTTAGAACACCTGAGAAAAATGGACTCGTTGAAAGAAAACACAGGCATTTGCTAGACTCGTGCTTTACGCTTCCAAACCAATCTACCTTTGTTTTTCTGGGGAAAATGTCTACTCACTTTGACATTCTTAATTAACAAAATGCCAACACCAATACTTTCTGGGAAAACCCCACATGAGTTATTACTCAACCCAAAGCCTAATCTTGCAGCATTTCGTGTTTGTGGATGTCTGAAAATGTCTACTCACTTTGACATTCTTAATTAACAAAATGCCAACACCATTACTTTTTGGGAAAACCCCACATGAGGTATTACTCAACTCAAAGCCTAATCTTGCAGCACTTCGTGTTTGTGAATGTATGTGTTTTGCTACTAACACTACACCCACAAAGCACAAATTTGATCCAAGAGCCAAACCAGGAATTTTGGTTGGTTATCCATTTGTTCAAAAAGGATACCGCATATATGATCTTCAAACCAAGAAAATTTTTACCTCTCGGAATGTCTTATTTTATGAGACCACATTTCCGTTTCGTTATTTCGATCTTCAAAGACAAGAAGGACCAGTTTTACCGTTACCCTTACCTGATTATCATTTTTCAACTCCTTCATTTACTCAATCTTATTGTGATAGGCCTTCACCAATGTCACCAGATTCCTCTCAAGTGTTTATATCTAATGAAGATATACAATCTACCACTATTCACCCTCCTCATTCATCTACACGTCCTGTTCAGAATCGTCCTCGCCTGGGTTACCTTCAAGATTTTCATTGTTCAACGGTGAGTCATGCGCCTTCTGCATCTTTCATCACTTCGAAGTTGGGTACTGCTTATCCTTTGCACAATTTTCTTTTCTTTAAAAATCTATCTTTGTCTCATAAATCATTTCTAGTTGCACATGATTCAATTGATGAGTCAAAAGTTTTTCGGAGGCTATGAAAATACCTCATTGGCAAGATGCTATGGTAATGAAAATTGTAGCTCTTGAGCAAAATAATACATGGACTTTAACCACATTTCTCGATGGTAAGCAGCTATTGGTTGCAAATGAGTTTACAAAGTAAAATTCAAGTCTGATGGCACAGTTGAACGATATAAGACTCGTTTGGTTGCTTAAGGTTTTACTCAAGAAGAAGGACTGGATTATCATGAGATGTTTGCCGTTGCAAAGCTTGTAACAGTTCGATGTCTTTAAGCATAGCTGCGACAAAATCTTGGTCTATTCATTAGCTTGACATTCATAATGCATTCCTCCATGGCAATTTGAATGAAGATGTATACATGCATGTTCCCTCCAGGTTTTCGAAAACAAGGGGAGAATCTTTTTAACAAATTAAATAAGCCCTTATATGAGTTGAAGCAAGCATCTCGAAATTGGTTTGCAAAATTTTCCTCATCCCTTTATGACATTGGTTTCATTCAATCAAAGGTTGATTATTCTCTTTTCACAAGAATTGTTGGTTCTTCTTCTACTTTCGTTCTTGTTTATGTGGATGATATACTTTTTACTAGTAATGATTCTTGTTCTATAAAAAATTTGGAAGGGTACCTGACAACAAAGTTTCACATAAAAAATCTTGTCTCATTGAAATATTTTCTTAGAATTGAAGTGGCTCGTTAAAATGAAGGCATTTTCTTATCTCAAGTTAAGTACATTCTTGATATTTTACATGGCATGGGATGACTTGGTGCACGTCCAGCTCATTTTCCCATGGAACCACAGCTCAAATTGCTTCCTAATGAAGGTGAACCACTACCAAATCATGGGCAATATCGTCGTCTTGTGGGTCGCCTTATTTATTTGACTATTACCAAAGCTGATAATATATATTCTGTTAATGTCCTTAGTCAATTTATACAACAACCTCGTCAAAGTCATTTGGAGGCCGCTGTTCGTCTTCTTCGATATTTAAAGGGCACACCAGGCCATGGCATTTTCTTGGTTTTTTCGATTCAGATTAGGCTAGTTGTCCCACCACTCTTCGTTCTACTTCTGGGTACTACACTATACTTGGGACTAGTCCCATCTCATGGAAATCCAAGAAACAACATACCGTTGCCCGTTCTTCGGCCGAAGTAAAATATCATGCCGTGGAACATTGGAAAATGTTATTTGAACTTAAAAAACTGATATAATTTGTTGATCTAATGACATAGCTTCATTGAAACCATTGGATTAACACCAAGTTTCAAAGTTTGATGGAGCCTACAGTCAATCCAAAAATCATAATGAATTAGGTCAACAAATTAGATAAGTAAATTAGGTCAACAATAGCATTGCTCTGGAACATTTGGCTTGCAAACTCCAATGGCTTCAATACCTACTTCGTGATCTTGGTATATTACATTCTCAACCCATGACAATGTTTTGTGATAATTAAGCAGTTATTCATATTGTTTCTATTTCGATCTTTCACCAAAGAAGCAAACACATTGAACTTGATTACTATTTTCTTTGTGAAAAACTTCAAGGTGGACTCTTTGATGCATCTTACATTCATGCATTTGAGAAAATTGCTGATATATTCACAAAGGCATTAGGCAAAGATCAATTTCAAGCACTCAATCGCATATCGGGCCTTCATTTCATTCATACTCTAACTTGAGGGGGAGTATTAGGACTTGCACAACTTGGACCAATCAACTCAAAGTTATCAGGACTTCAAGTTTAAATTCAATTGTTTTATCCTCTGTTTTTTTTATCTTGTAGATTTTGTAGTATTTAAATTCTAAGTGTAATCATATCTTTTAGTGATAGGGTAACTCATGTAAAATCTTGTAACGTCCAATTTTCAAGAAAAGTGAAATAGACTTCAATTGCAAAACTCCTCTGTTCTTTCTCTACAGTCTCTTCATTTTCTCCCCTTAGCAGATTGAGCATCATGTATTATTAATAGACTAACTTGTATAAAATGATTCCAAATTATACACAATATTAGATAATTAAGTCGCCAATATCACAAATAACAAAATGTGCTACTATTCGGTGTACTTGTGGATTAAAGTCGTCGCAAGCCTAGATTGATTGATTGAGGGAGCCTTATATGTGCAATTTGGGAATCAAATGACAACCTAATCCAAATCCAATGTTTTCAAACCATGCTTTGCTCTGGCCCAATTAGAATTCAAACGGGCATAGGATACCACAAAATCATACAAACAATGTTAATCAAACATAATTTATTGATCTAATTAACTATAGCTTTTAGATTGATTGTGAGTTCGATCAAACATTGAGAGTTTGTTTAATCCAACGATTATAATAAAATAACATCATTAAGTCAATAAATTAAGTTAAATTTTTAAATCAAAAATCATAAATAGGAAGTTTTGGGTTGCATAGGAGAACCACATAACCCATCCTCCCTTTGCACAAGAATAAAAAGAAAAAAGGCGTACAAGACTTTCCACACTATAAAATTCCAAAATGATTAAATATATATAATCTTATTCCTACAAAAAAAACTGACATTAAACAAATTAGTCAAATAAACATGAAAAAGGTTCCATAAATTGAATTTGACCCAGCCCAATCGATTGAGATCATGTTTGGATCATCATTCTGATCTTCTTGCAATTACATGAATGAATGTCGCTTGTCCTAAGAAGATACTTGTTAAATTATTTTAACGATGTAGGCCCAACTGTTGGATCTTTTTTCTGAAATGGCTGCACAAGCCGTCCAAGAGCAAGCAGAACAAAATTTTTACTGTTAAATTCACACCAGGTACCAGATATCCCAAGATCTTGGATTCAACAACTATCACAAACATAGGTTTGCAAGAACAAAAACCTAAGAGAAATCTCAAAAGATTATGGACATGTAATTGAGAGAGAGAGAGAGAGAAGGGGAAAAAGATAAAGAAAAGGAAATGGAAAAGAACAAAAGATCTATGACATGATATCAGCTTCAACCTTGAGGAGACGCCAAAATCCAGTGAAAACTCCCCAGTTGTTATGCGAAATATCAGTATCTGTTAGCACTCCATATTGTCACAACAATAAATCAGCTCCTTCTATCTTCAAAGACTGTTTCTAGAAGTTTTGGGGAAGGCAACGATGCAACACATTTGAACTGCTATCATAGAAGAAGGCATCATTAGAAAAGAAAACACCGTACCATGAAATTCTTGAGTTGTATGATTCCATATAGGTTCAAGCATAATATTGCTATGCACTATATGTTTAGGCATTCATTACCTTATCTTGCCTGTATTTCGCATGTATGGCTTTCAAAGGGCAACCACTGGTGTTCAATTTCAAACCTTGTAATGCAAGCACTGCTGTTTTCAAATCTGCAGCCTTGTAATTAGTATAGTGTTCCAGTGTTGGAGTCTGCAAAAAGTTTTGTATACGGTTGTAATTGTCAATAGCAAGAACTGAAGCAAGCATAAAGAAGTAAACAAAATCGAGAATGCAAACCCATGGATGTCCTGACTGATCTAGCATCCATCTGGCAAGGAACACGGCTGATGCAGCAATAATTGAAGGAAGGAATTTTAGGAAAGCATTGTCCACTAACGTCAATTCTGCCAGATAATTGGCCAAGAACTCCAACTCAAGTCTAGGGGACTGCAAATAAGAAATAATCAAGAAAAAGTTGATCTTTCAGTGAAGATATGTGACCTCGAAATTTTGATTTCTCCTGAGTCAAGGCTATGAATAATGTGGACCAGAAATATTACCTTGTAAGAGGCTTGTGCCGCTCGTAAAAATCTCCTGTAAACAGCAAAACAAACAGAAAAGGTGCATTAGAAGTTTTAGCTATGATACACAGACTAGCAGGATAGAAAATTCAAATGTAAGACAAGCTCAAACTACCTGAGAAAAGTTTTTGCTGTGGGTGCTGAAAGTTGAAAGCGGAAATAGTTCAAAACTTGAGTCTCCATTGCAAGAACCTGCCAATTGCCTCTCAGAAAATTGCAAAATAAATGACAGGAAGTTTATTAAAGCATGATATGATTAACAGTAAAATGGCCACATTCTAATCCTTTCCAGGTAGCCAAAAGTCCTCATAATTGAGAAGCATTATCTTTTTCTGTTGCATTTAAACTAAGTGCTGAAAGTTACAAACTACAACATAAGTACCCTTCTACAATCTTGTCATTAGGAATTTTGGATGACCATATCATAACACTTCCAGTCTCTCCATTGAGTCCCTTTAGGGGATATATCATCAACCAAATGTACTTCAAATCCTAAACAAATAATCAAGTGGAAATAGTAGGATCCAATTTTATATATCCGTTTTTCATACATTCACCACAGACAGATTTATAAATCATACCTCTCCTTTTGTGTAAGTGTTGTCTGTGATGAAGCAAAGTTCCTCAACACGTGGTGCACAGATTTCTTCGTACTTCCTTCAAGCCATAAAAAAGAAGACCGTGTTAAGTATCACATCAGGAAAAGGAGAGAAAAAAGATACATAATACACAAACATGCATGCATGCATGCGCGCGCGAGCGCGCACACACAGCACAGCATTCAACATAGCATCACTTCTTGTACTACATAAAATGGGATTGTAAAAATACACGAAAGGCTCAACATGTCTAAGCAAATACATGTAAGAAAATATAAAACCAGAATTACATATAATGACTATGATCTGCATAAGAACAAAACACAGATCATTGTAATATCTCACATTGAAATACCTCACTCTATTCAAGCATTTCAAACCGAAACCCAGGCTACCAAAAGAGTTAACTCATCCTTGTATGTCAATTCCTTTATCTCTGACACTAATTTTTTTAACAGAATTGAAGTCTCCATCCCCTAAGACTAAGAAGTGATCATACTCTTTTATTACATGAATGTTTAGTCATCTCTTTCTCTAGCTGTGCTCTTCTAGCAATGGCATCTTCAAATTTACCAAATTAAAGCACAACAACTACATCAAACAAGAAGCCTTCAGTTCCCTTGTGGCTTTGACTTCTGTCAAACTTTGCAGATATGATAAACCAAACAAATTACATCCTGCATGGCCATGATTCCAATGAACTTGTCCAAGGTTCATTATCTTTGGCAAAAGAGATGTTTCAAAGAAAAAGGAAGATATTTAAGGAGCTATCCAGAATTTTCTATGCCATATCAATCAACCAGAGATAGAATCAGTTGAGCTGCAATGGTTGAACAGTTTCACTCAAATTTCTGGTTCAGGCACCCACAGGGTTCCACTTCATACTGGAACAGACAATCACACAATCAATCCAATTTGTTTTGTTTGTTTTGTTCATTATTCACCGGTGCATATCACATGTCAATCAACAAATCCAAACTTCAAAACTATTTTCCTACCATGACTGATTATCTAAGTAAGATCGAGGAGAATGTAAAATGTTGCTAACACAGATCTGGCGCAGAAAGTAATCTGGCAAAGGGCACTCTCACACGCCCTAGCTTCTATTACATGAAGTTCTGATACATCAGTAACAATCAGGTCAGAGGACTGATATATCCTAATCAGGAAGTGAACAGAAGGCATTAGATTCTATGAATCACAAATCACTCGATATCATTTAAGACTTGAAGGCATTGTCCTAATCAGACAACAAAATGAACCGTATCTGCACTGCTACAACTTATGGATGGCGTGCAACACCGTAGTCACATCAAAGTTTCAACCTCCGAAAAAATTCAAATCGAGAAGGAGAAATCATTATTGAATTGGTATGTAGAAGAGAACTTACGAGGCTATTAACATGCAAGTGATGCCGAGTAATTGCAGCCTTTGCCGTTCGATGTAGTTTTGAGAGAGGAACCAATCAATGAGACACACGGTGAGATACAGTGTGTCTGGCACCAACTTATACTCTTCACACACCTTAAACCAAAGTTAAAAAATTAGTTATTTCCCTTCAAACAACAAATTTTATCCAGGAAAGCATGGTCAAACTTTATAACTAGTAATATAGGGAAAAATTATGGAATTTACGGATATATATAACCAAAAAGCAAGAGAAAGATACAGAGAGGAGGTAACTTAAGACGATATTCAGGAAGTTTCCAACAAGAATCTTGTGAAATGGTGCTAAATTGGAAACATTATGCTTACCAATACCAAAATGCTTACAAACTTTTGCAGAGTATTTGTCAAACCAGAAGACTAGAACTCTCAAATGCATGGGAACAATCTTTCTGCTTCTATTAAAGAATAGACGAAGTATATAAACTTCAAAACAATAGGGCAAATTTGGTAGAAAATAGGGCCACTAAATGCCACAAGAAATCAACTAATTAGGAACAACTACAAAGTTGGGAGTATCAGGTGGAAATTGAAAGAGATCACACGGAAAATATGCTGTTTCTTCAACAACAATTTTTAAATGAAAATCAGAGTCACAGTTGCAAGACCAAAAACCACATACAATGGTCTTGGTAAAGACTCAACCATTAATTCCGTTTCTTTAAACAATAAAATGTCAAAGTCTTCGATTTGTTTCCCTTTTGTGTCTTGAAATGCTATAGTCAAATAACCATAGATGATAATAACAGCAATCACTGCTTGCATAAGGGAATGGAGGAAACAGTTACAACAACTGAACTCAAAATACTCACATTGAACCTCATAATGTGGAAACAGGATCCACATGCATTTTTCAATGAAAAGAGAAAAATTGTAGCCAAAATCCCATTAAGATGAAGGACAAAAATGAATATTAAATGGTCGGAATCTCCTGAAGTAGTACCAATAAATTCTAAGTGAATTCCATCTACAAGTCACATAAGTCCACGTCCTGATCTTATAGGTAAGGCCTAAATGGTGCATACACTCAAGCAAAAGCATGCATCAATTAGACAGCTCAATCCACTAAATTTACAAATCAAAACTATGCTACCTCCACAAGCCAGTCAACCAAAATTCCCCGCATACTCTGAGTGATATCTCGCTGTACTGTTTCCATAAAATTAGAGTGTGGTCTTCTGACTAGCTGGAAACACAGATGATGAAACCACAAGTTAGCATAAATTTTCTTCCAGAGAGTCGGAGCAAAAGAGAAAGAAAGTGCCTAAATGTCATATTCCTAACAGAAGCCTACTGACAGTTATTTTGTCTTTGAAATAACTGCATAGGTGCACACAAAGTAGCTATTAAATTTTGACTTAGATAACAGATGTATGAGGTTCTTGCAGCAGTGTAAACTATTCCTGTGTATATTTTGGCCGTTATAAGCTATATTATGTTCTGCAATTAAACATGGAATGCTCAAAGCAGGTATTTAGATGGGAATCGAAAATCAATTCTGAAAATGAACATTATAGGAGTGGGTGTCAGACAAAGATATAAAAATTTTTGCCCGTATTTCTTTCACTGGTTGCCACTTGTTGGGGAACCTTATTCCATCTAAGACCTTCTGCTTTCAATTAAGGTTCAAATCATGGAACCATTGAAACCCAAGAACTTTTAAGGTTCACGAATCGAGTAAAAGGTGATGAGACTTCGAGGGCGAGCTTTACTTGAGACTTGTACATGAAAGTGGGGGTGTCAATAGTGTCATGTCATGTTACTTTCGATCGTATTATTTTCGTGTCCGGTCACTTTCGGTACGTGGATGCATGTCAATATTCATATCAATAAAAAATTATTTAATTCCACAACAACTCATATAACACTATTTAAAAAATTTAAAAAAAGAATTATAAAATTCTTATTTTTTGTCTACAATACTCGAAAAATACTTATTTTCTATCTACAGTACCCATTAATCATGTCGAACCTAAATTTAACTTATTTATTACTCGTGTCAACTAATCGTGTTATTGTCGAGTTTTGTGTCGGGTCGAGTTTGTGTCGGGTTCGTGTTAGTGGATAAAATTGACACCCCTACATGGAAGTACCTCATTTTGTGTCGTATTCTGATAAACCAACTTTTCATCAATCGAAATGCAATTCTTATGTGTACAATCAATTAAAGATTTTTATTCTAGATGAAAGATCAGTTCCTTAACCAATCTACTATCTGCTTGGTTTGTGCAAATAATACCTAAGGTTAAGTCTATACCTAATCTACTCCTCCCAGACATTTATTAATGGGGACTAGATTGGGTGTTGTAAAGCAGCAATTTTAAAGGATTGCCACAAAAGATGAAATCGAATTAATCTTCCACGTTGTATTTGCAAATACATTGAGTCAGAGAGGAATGCAACAAAGTTGAGATTATTCGCTGAATAATAAACACAGTGTATATGCATCTTATAAGGACTAGCAATTCGATGATTTGATGTTGTCCCTTTTTCCCTCCCAAATAATTCTGGTTCTATATTCTTCTCTACCATTCTATAGGGTGGATTATGAACCTATGAAATTCATTCTATTGTATCTCAAAACAAAACAAAACATATCAGTGGCATATGAAAGCAAAACACTAGTCACACAGATAGAGTACAACATCTTGCCACGAACCTCTGCAACGCGTAAATTGCTGTATATATCAGGAGCATAGATGCTGCACAACTGAGGGTCCTTATGATCAGAATCAATATCTGTGAAGTCTGGATTGGAAGATACCATCTGCTTCTCATAAAGTCCAAATTTCTCTGCTGTATCCATCACAAAAGTGTCACTTTGGTTACAACAAAATGCAACACAGGGAGAAATCACCATGCAATATATGCATCAACTCATTCAAAATAACCCCTATGGTTTACGAAATAAAAATTCTTGACCAAGATGCATGGTCTTGATGATGACTACTTGATAAAACATATTGGCCAAATATTGCAGCACACGATCGAAGGACTTTCAAATGCACAAGCATGAAGCTTAAGCTTCTTATCAAAAATCTGAGTGAAGCTTAAGCCATGCCTCTCCCCATATGGTATGTCCAATAATTATCATTTGAATGTGCAAGACAAAGAAATGAATAAAAGTTTCTGAGCCTAGTGTTTAGATATCGTAAACATATGATTCCAATCACTTCACCAAGTCATTGTTGGGAAACCCTAGCCTTTGGGTCAGTTTATGGGCGGAATTATCTGCCCAGATTTCTTGCCATACATGGCCATAGCTTGTTGGTTCAATCATGGAATCCGTAGACCTCAGCAATATGACCTACTATCTGCTATTAAGTGGCATTAAGTGGCATTCTCTATGGAACATATTTCCCTCTCTTTCATTCCTTTTGCTATTGAACAAATAAATCTAATTTTTCACCTCATGTGTATAAAACACAATCTTCTATATATAATGTGGTCGAAAATAAATGCATAATCTAACATCTTTGAATAAACTTGACAATGTATCAGGGTAGTATCCTTTTAACAGTGGCAGTACATTTTCATGACATTAAATAAGGTAATGCTGTCATATACGAAATGCTGAGAAACAAAAGGACATTACAAGCACAGAAAAATTCACAAGAACGTATGTTTCCTCTCAGCTAGGTAAGGTGGTCATGGAGGCAGTATATGGATAATTCTGTTAAGGTTATCAAGTTCCTGGATGAGAAATATGAAGGAGAATGCGGACCTTTTGTTGAAAATTTTTGCAATGGTGAAGGATTTCCTGGTGGTTGTTTTCCAAGCTGAGGATTGTGTAGGCTATACTCTTTTGCAATAGTCTCCGTATTTAGCTGTAAAGGAATGTTTTCTTCTAAGATCATGGAACATGCTCCTGCAGATAGAGATTCAGCCTTCCCAATTTCTTGTCCAATACTTGTTAATTCAGCTGGAACCTGTTGGATTTTTACTGCAACAGAGACTGCCTTGGACGCATGAACTGAACTTTTGTTAGCTTGCTTGCTATTCTTTTTCTGTCAATCAGCAGAATCAATAGAAGTTATTTTACAATTTTGGGTAGAAACATAAAATGTACATATCAAAATACTACTAGGTTATCTAGTGAACTCTATAACTACTGCAGGATATTTCAAGGGAGAATTAGCATGATCCTGATGATCTTTTAACTTTTCCCTACTACGTAAATGTCAATTAATAAAATTCAGATACTATTTCAGCCTATTGCTCCAGAATTTGGTTCAGCATCTCAACATGACGAAACCTTGCTGAGCTTTTAAGGACTGTTTTTACTTTGCTCGGGCTTTTTCTTTGACGTAATGAGCATTGAAGCACTACTTTCGATGCTATTTATAGGTAACAAAAGCACATTTTTTGACAATTACAATTTCAAAGAAGGCAAGAGTACATGTTCAGTGGAAGGGTAGTAAACAAACCGAAATTTTTGTGGCATTGAGGCATTTTTTGTAAGAATTATCACAGCAAACATTTGTCACATCCCTAAGCACAGCCCTCCTCTTCTGCTGAACACAAGCAGCAACAGGAACACTGGTGTTCCTCTCATCCAAGGCTGCTCTTTTTGAATTTGTTCGTAAAACCCGCTTCTGATCCTGCTGCTTTGGTACTTCTGAAGAGGGCTTGCCTCCAGATTGTTGAAGGCAAGCAGCTCGAGCTCGTGTTATTCGAGCAGTAGGCTCTCTCACTGCAGAAATCACCATTTTCTTCATCTTTACAAGCCTTCGAGAGTTGAAGGACAAGGCTTTCTAAAATGAAGTACTGTTCATGACACCTGCAACAAATGACAAATCAGGGACAAGCAAAACCAAGAACAAGCTGCAGAGCTGAGAAGAGGTTGCAGACAACATATGCAATAAACTGCTAAATAAATGGATTAAAGGAAGAACAAAAACAGAATAAAGTCAATAGCCCTTTCATTATTTAGAGGTTAATATGTCAGAACTGAAAATCAGGAGTGAAACAAACCATGAAGCAAATCCATGAAGTCTAAATGAAACTGCTTACCATGGTCGATTAATTATTGCGTAATACTTATTCTAGAGAAACGAGGTATTTTTGCTGACAAAATATTTGATTGAGCACTTGATGCTGTCGAATTCCATCAAGCAACAGGCCATGTCGATTTTGCTGTGGAACACAGGCGAGCTCATAAAAATGCAGACAACCAAATGAAAAATGCACCCAGTTTAGACCCCATGTTTGCATAAAACTTATGTCTATCACTTCCAACACTGCACATTTTTAAGCTGTAACTATAGGAATAACAAAGATAAACTTGAGTAACATGGCACTTCTCTCTTTAAACAGGTAAACGTAGCAACGCCAGGAAACCAGCATCATGGCCCAAAGCCATCAACAAGATATGTTATTAGCAAATGAAATTTGTTATGGCATAAAATTAAATCAAAGCATAGAGATAACACTCCAGCCACTTTATCTCTCACAAATTATGCCTCATGAACTTTATTTACAATTTATAACTAAACAAATTTCTAACAATTCACTGCAACAACAGAGAGATTAGTTCCTATATTTCTGTACGTTGCAGTTAATTATATGTTTGTGTTTCCAAATCATAAGCAAAAATTTATGTTCTTTTTCATTTCAGCTATCATGCTTGAAAGGAAATGTAACATAGTACATTTGTACTAATATCAATTATATCTACATTCTTGGAGGGCCCAATTTTAGCTATACAAACCTGCAGCAAAGGAAGCTCGAATTTTCATGGATAAATTTGAAGCAGAAAATGGAATTGTCATTGAATTTATTCAGTAGAATTCAAAGATGTTAGAAGAAAAGGGGGAGCTGAATTTAATGAAAACAAACCCGTAAAAATCCAAATCTACCAACATGTGGATCCTAAAACAATTTTTGACAATACATCACATCATATATCAAATGGGAGGAACATGGGCAGAAAACAGATGAATAATAGGTCAATAGTATGGACAAAGGTCGGGAAATTCAAACAACCAAAAAAAATAGATTGCAAGCAAAAAATAATCCAAGTCAGTTATTCACTCAGAATCATATTTTGATTGGAGGGTATCAAACCAAACCAAGTAATTCAAGATATTTTCATATCCCATTCAAATTCAAAAAAAAAAAAAAAACGCAGTTCCTCATGGTTGTTGAGAAAATACAGGAATAGAAAAGAAAATAGAAAAGAAAGAAAAACAAAACAAAGACTATATCATGTGTGTGTTTTCATAAAAAAAAAAAAAAAAAGGGATCGTAGATTTTCTTGGTTGCTTTGAATTTTCCGTTATTTTTTTACAGTTTTTCCATTGTTTTCTTGGGTCATATAAACCAAAAAAAAAATCAAAGATTTGCAGTTCTTTTTCTTTTTGTTGCCGTACATTTTTTCAGCAACCAAACACAGCTAATGTAGTGAGAAAAAATTCTTCCCAACAAATCTACGTCCAAAATTCAAATCTACAACGGACCCAATGACTAAACGATCTATAACCCAAGAATCGACTGAGTTTCAATAACACAATGTTACTAGAAAAAAAAAAATTAATTGGATTTAAGCCTCACTCTGCTTTCTTAGCTCCAGTATCAAGTTCAACTAAGAAATCTTTGATATCCGATCATGCTGAGAAGAAGACAGAAGGGCTAGAAAGATGTAGACAGAGAGAGAGAGAGAGAGAGAGAGAGACAGCAAATCAGGTCACATTACAGAGCGGCACATTGTATAGTTCAAAATCAAGAAATTGAGGATGAAAAAGTAAAAAATAAATAAATAATATTAAAATATTTGTTCAGATGAATTTACAGTCATGGCCCTTTGTCAGTCTGAGGTTTACTGTTTGACTGAGACAGTTCGTTCATTATTTTAACAACGTTAATTAAGGTAATGATATTGTTACCCAGGCTGTTCTCGGTAGTTTCATCATTTGCCCCTGAAATTTTGAGTTTTTACTAGAAATGCTTTCACTTATTGATTTTTGTATGAGACTTTGAGGAGTAATTTGGTACTTTGAATCGTCATGTTAAATTTGTTGAGCTGTGGACGAATTTGAGATCCGGTACGGTGAGATCTATTAATGCAACGTGGAGTAACCGACGGCGTAAGCTACTGTCTCCGTTAAATTACGAAAACAACCCCATACTCTATTTAAAACACGTTTGACTGGCATATTAAAAATTGATAGATTATATAAAATAATTTAATCTAATATAATACAACAGAATAAAAAATTAAATTAAATATTATAATAATATATAATTTTATTTAGTATTTGACAATACACAATATAAATATTAGATAGTAGTTATTTAAACTAATCGATTGTTTTGTTAAGAAATTATTTCATCGTATTAATGTTGAATTAACAAAAATATCATCGATCAGTATTTATTACATTGATGATAACTTGATTTTATCTGTTGGAGAGTTATATTAGTAACAATGTAGAATAATATGTTTGAGTTGGATTATAATGTCACCTCTCTTAATGATATTAAAATACTTTCATAATACATGTCTATCATATAAAAAATATACGATAACTATACGTTTTTTAAATTAATACGGTATCAAATTTGTTTACCAAATAAAATATTAGAAACGATTAAATAAAAAATAATACAATCTAATATTTAATCTCCTCATAATACGTCTACCAAACGAGCCCTTAATGTAACAGCCTATTTGATAGGAATGATGAAAATTTGATAGAAAACAGTCAACCTCTCGGTCTGCACAGCAAACGAGGCCATCAGAAATTGACACAGAAAACAAAAAATGGAACCATGAAATAAATATTCGGATGAAAAAAAAAAAACAAAAACTATGATAACTAAAATTTTAATAAAATGATAATTTTCCAACCAAACGCTGAAGTAAAGTCTGGCATGAATTAGGTACCAGATCATTTGCATCATATCTGATTTGTCAAGTCCAAAGACTCAATTCATGTTATAACTCAGTTCAAGTTTATAGTCCGACTCAAGAGATCCAACGAATCTAAACCAGTGTGGCTAATCCGGTCAAGCTCATCAGTGTGGTCAGCCTGATCAAGCTCAGCTGCTCAAGGAGCTAAGGGAGCAAATAAGGTCATCCAAAGTCTTATCTTCGCTGCCCTGGAGATGGTCAACATCCCACCTCATCCTTTGACCGAATCTCATGGAGAGCACATAACTGTCTCGCACGTTGAGAAAAACTCGACAGATCCAACAAACTAACCAGTTAGTTGCTAACACTTCGCCCAAATCTATTAAGAGGGTGACTATAAATTGTAAGCCCCACGAACACTTGGGGGGCATAGGATCACACTTTTACTTGAGCACGACTCTCTTCCCCTTCTCAAAATTTGTACTCTCTGCTTCCTACACCCCTTGAGCTAATAAACTAGCAGGCGACCAAAGTCATTCAAAAGTGGACATAGGTCACGATTGACCGAATCACTATAAATCTTTTCTCCTCCATCTCTCTTTACTTTTAATTACTACATTTATTTTTTATCACTTGACAGATGGTGTGCAAAGCCATTTTGTGCATCATCAATTTGGCGTCGTATGTGGGAACGACTAAATTCTCACTTTTAAACACTCCCTCTGTTGAACCTATGGCGATCACCACTAGATCCATGAATCAACCTGAGGATAATCCACAACAAAAGGAGGAGGTTACTCCTCCACCTACCAACCCTGTCCCAAATGCTCCAGTTTCAAATCCTCAACAAATGTTGGAGACTATGCAGCAGCTGGTGGCCCAAAACCAACAGATCCTGCAACTCATGCTCGCCAGACAAGGAGGAGCACAACTTGGAGGACCTCAAGGAGCTCCACACCCCTGGACATCAAAGAGCTCCACGCCCTGGACATCAAGGAGCTCTATGCCTAGGACATCAAGGAGCTGCATGCCCTAGACATCAAGGAGCTGTACGCCCTGGACATCAAGGAGTTGTACGCCTTGGACATCAAGGAGCTCCACTCCCTGGACATTAAAGAGCTCCACGCCCTGGACATCAAAGAGCTCCACATCTTGTTGCTCTCCATTTGGGCTCTCATGCAGGTTTGGGCGCCCCCTTTGGAGTCCCTTTGGGCGCCCTACACAAGGGAACTCATCATGAGAGACCTCCACTTCCTCATCCAGCTCTTCTTACTTCCCATGGTGAAGACCCTTATCTCCAAGAAGATGATGACGAAATCAAAGCATGGAGTATGGGAGTTATTTTCCATGATCATTCCAAAGGAGCCCCCAATCACTGGAATGAAAAAATTAAGGAAGTGCAAAATCAACTAGGTGACGTCTTTAATGTCATGAAGGCGCAGGAACCCGAGACAGTGGACTACCTCGTACGGTGGACAAACACGTCTTTCAAACCTGAAGTGGCGAACTACCCTCTCCCTTAAAAGTTCAAAATGTCATCCGTGGGGACCTTTAATGGAACGAATGATCCACTTGATCACCTCGAAACCTACAAGACCCTAATGCAACTGCACAACCTCCCCGACGAAATTATGTGTAGGGTATTCCCAACTAGTTTGAAGGGATCAGTGCGACAATGGTTCGCCAAACTCACTCTGGCCTCCACAAGCTCCTTCAACGAACTGAGCAGATCATTTGTGGCACAATTCATTGGTGGACGCCACCAACAAAAGTCTATCACCCATATGCTCAACATAAAACAAGATCAAGACGAGAGTTTGAGGAGTTACCTCACTCGTTTTAGCGAGGAGGTCCTCCAAATCGAGGAGCCCAATGACAAAGTCACCATGACCGCCATTTTGGGAGGCCTCTACTCATCCAGATTCCTTTTTTCAATAATGAAGCGACCACCAAAGAGCATGCCAGAACTATTGACAAATGCTCACAAATATATAAATGCTGAGGAAATCAATAGGTCTAGGCCAGGTGAATCATCTCGCAGATCTCCAGAAGCTTGACTTACCTCGAATCATCTCGCAAATTATCAGAAGCTTGATCTGTCTCTATACTGTTTTCAAATAGGAAGCTTATCTCCAACTTAGCAGCTCTTTCACGGGTCGCCAAAAAGCTTGGCCTCTGCATTGTTCTCAAACAGGCAGCTTATCTCCAGTTTAGCGGCTCTCTCACGGGTGGCCAAAAAAGCTTGGTCTCTGCACTGTTCTCAAACAGGCAGCCTATATCTCCAGCTTAGCGGCTCTCTCACGAGTCGCCAAAATCTTGGCCTCTGCATTGTTCTCAAACAAGCAACTCATATCTCCAATTGAGTGGCTCTTTCACGGGTCGCCAAAAAGCTTGGCCTCTGCACTGTTCTCAACACAAGCAGCCTATCTGCAGCTTAGCGGCTCTCTCGCGGGTCACCAAAAAAACTTGGTGTATCTCTGCTCTGCTCTCAAGCAAGCAGTTTATACCTCAAGTTTAAGGACTCTTTTATGGGTCGCCAGAAGTTCGGTCTCAAGAGGCACAACTCTCTCACAAGCAACCTCAAACTCTGTCTTTACTCTCGCATAAACAGCCTGTCTTTCTCTCTCCAGGTAATCATGCAAAATATTTTAATGTTTGAAATAACATTAGTTTTCTCATCTCTAGGCAGGATCTTGAAACTCAATTCGCCTGCAACCTGAGAGACTATATTAGATCAGCGCTCCCAGCAGCCTGACCAATCAGATTAGCGTACCCAGTTGTCTGGCCACCTAAACCAGCTGCCTGGCCACTCAGATCAGTGCCTAAGTCATAC